ATAGCTCGAGGGATGCTAGACCGAGGCACCCTACGATCAACTCAGGTCCGTCTCAGGGCAGATCCCCTGAAGGGGGGTTTAATACGGGCCAATGAAATGCAAAAAATGCTCACTATCTCCACCCTTACGACGTCGACAGCGATTGTTGAGAAAACCACCAACAGCTATGGACCATTAGCAATCGTCATTCGGCCGTGCACGCTTTTTCTTTCTCTGAAAAATATGTGCATTATACTACATAAATTTTTGTTTAGAAAAAAGTTACATCATAAAGCCTCCATTTATCGTTTTCGACGTCATATTCGTATGCGCGAATATCTCTTCTAAACAAATGGTCTATGAGATGTAGCGTTAGGACAAAGTTCCTTTACTCACAAGGCCATTTGCAGGGTTTTGAAGAGGTCCCGCCTATACACAATCCTTTCATGTGCCATCCTTTCGAATGCTTCCGCCCTTTCCTCTCTTGTTTTCCCGAGACTTTCGAAAAAGCTGTAAAAATTTGAACTGTAACTTTTTGGAGAATTCACTCTAGCTCCACCTCGTACTGTCGACATTGACGGCTGCCATTTTGAGTTCTGGATGCCCATAGCCGATTGTGTCTTCGCCAAAGTCTAAGATCAGGAGTCCTGAACTATTTCGATATCAAATACATACCTAAGAGTGCAGTTTCAACATTAGACGGCAAGTTTTTGAGATTTGAACTTCGGCCTCCTTTTCCGTTGAGCCTTGGGGAATAATCTTGAACGGATTGTCGCGGCTCCGTTATCTGTAAAAATTATAATGGTACCAGAACCTCTGCAAGTTATTAGGCATTACTTGCACCAGGATGTATCTGTAAAAGCTCATGAACATCTTGAAGGGGGTATCGCCAGCTTTTGTTTGATAGTTGACGATAAGTTACTCAGGCTAGTCTGAAAGTTGTTTTGTTCTTCTGTATTGCTCTTTCTTCCTCACCTGCAAAAACGGCGGTGGTCCCTCTAGCTTCCACTCTCGGGTGCAATTGTGAATCGAAATAGTGAGGCCTTCTTCTTCTACGGGTAACCCTTCTTGCTCCTTTCCTCCAATCTCTATCATTCGTGTTAGGCGATCAATTTTGGAAAACTGGATTGCACACTGAACTCGCTCGTTTTCAATACTTGTCCTAAATATGCAAGAGAAAATCACCATCAAGAAATTAGCAATGCTATGTAGACGCATTTCTTCCGTCGGGTCTCTCAGATTGAATAGTCCTTCATCAGAAAAACGATAAATTTTCATTGCTTCCTCAGAACGGACAAACTCCTGCCAAGATACAGTGCTAGTACCCAATATTCTGAATCAACAATGACTTACATCGTAAATTTGCTGGTTTGGAGGTTGGATTAATCTCAAGGTTAGATTTATCTGTGCCAAGGTGATTAGGACTGACGTATATTAGAAGCATGGCATGACACACTTGCAGTAAATTGCTTTCTTTTGTATTTCCGTGATATTTTTACGAGGAACGTGTTGGAATATCGGTTTCAGAGTTTTACATTCAATGAATTTGAGACTGTACAGTCTACATAAGCAAACCACCTTCCGAAAGTCTATAGATCTCTGAGGGTATCCTTCTAATCTTGCCTCCAGCTAAGGTTAGAAGTTGCATTGAGAATTCACCTCAAGGTAAATGCAGTCCGTTTGATGAATACGGATTCTAAGTGATAACAGTACCTTGGGGTAAAATTTACCTCAAGGTACTTTCCATTCAATACTAAACACCTTGAGGTAAATTCTCAAGATAAAATTTACCTTGAGAATTTGCCTCAAGGTACTTTTGTGAATACGGGTATTTGCTGATAATGAGTGATAAAACTACCTGGAGGTAGAATTTACCTCAAGGTATCAATGATGAATACGGCCACAGGTGTGGCAAGCCACACCTCACGCTTGATCCTGGTTTTGTCTGTCTTTCTACAAACACTTGTTCCTCAAATTCTACAATTTATTTATTCCCAAAATCGTTCATCTGCTATATTTTAATCTTTTATCGCATCTTACTGTTTCTTATATCTTATCTGTTTCATTCATACCTCCTATCCACTTCGCTACTTATCTTTGATTTACTGTGGGCCTAGCGGTGCGCCTGCACCATGCAGGATTTTGGGAGAGCTATGGAGGTTGGCTTAATCGGCTGGGCAGCGCTCGTTTTTCTACTGCAATTAGGCGCAAGGCAACGCAAATGGTCCTTAGGATATACTGCAGAGGAATGCGGCATAGCTTTGCTCCCCACGCCCTCCATAAATATAATTGACTGCATGGAATCTCCCCGGGCTAAACGCCCGCGAGCGTGTCTCTTGTGGAAACAATGGCATTCGCGCGCATGAGTCATCATAGCGCCCGTAATCGGCCACGTTCCAGGCACGCTCGCGTGTGTTCACCCTACAGCAACCCGGGCGATTTCGTGCAGTCCACTTTATCAATCGTTAGGGGTTGATGTATTCCAATAAATATGTACCTGACACTGCGGCTGAAAATGGTGACTCTAAGTCGCCGACACTGACAACTTTCGATTGCCGAACCGACGACTGGCGATCGGCAGGCGTCGGTTCGGCAATCGAAAGTCGTCAGTGTCGGCGATTGATTACTAGAGTATATGTACGCTTCTAGAAGCCTTTGCTCTACAAAACGTTTGTTTCATTTCTTACATCCGAAGACAATTTAGTAAAACTTTAGGCATTGAAATACAAATTGAAAAGGCAAAAAACTCGTAGTTGACAATCAATGCTTGCTAATAGGCGAAAAAGCAAGCTGACTACTTGTGTGCTCTCTTGTGATTACCTACTCCCATTTCAGAAGGCAAAGCTGTGCTTTTCGACGTTCGTGTTCTTGCGCACTCAAGTAGCGTGTTACTCGAACTATAGATTTTGCTGACAAGGGAATAGTGTCGAGTCGAAGTGGCCTTTCCAGATAAGATCCATACTGCTTCGAAGGGTATTAAGCGGTGATTCCAAATCTGCCTTCCAAATCTGCCAAGCGCCTCTGGACGCCGAGTTGTAACCGTTCTTCGGAACGAAGAATGGATGCAGAATTTAGGTAAAACTGATTGTTACAATCTTTCCAGCGCTCAGATAAAGCAATGTTAAGTATTATCATGTTGAATATAATGTATCCATTGCATAAACAGCTCTGGTACTTGACACTAGACCATTTGAGCAAATTTGGGCGATTTTGCTTTAATTTTGCGTTCAATTTTTTGACCTGAAAAACGAGCATAACTCGGCGTCCAGAGGCGCATGGCAGATTTGAAAAGCAGATTTGGAATCACCGATTAATGCTCTTCAAAGCAGTATGGGTCTCATCTGAAAAGGCCACTTCGACTCCACACGGTTCCCTTGTGAGTAATAATATTCGATGATCATATGGACTTAGACCATCTTTTCTGCTAATTCATAAACTGTTCGCCTACCATGTTTTCTCAATAGCGATCGCAGATGTTTTTGACGTTAAAGGGACCTCAAGGGCTTGTTTTCAAATGCGGGATGATTTTCTTTGCTTATCAATGAGTCCTTTATTTTTGAATACTCTAAACACCTCCGCGGCCACTCTCAACGCGCGCTGAGCAGTCTGATGCTTTTCGTCTCTTAACAGCAAGCGTTGTATATGCTGAGTTGGGAGTGCAGTGGAAGTAGCGCATCTTCGACATCTCTAGCAAGGGAGGGATTGGAGCGCTGATTTCAATCTGCCTTCTATATACGCAGAAAGCTTCTGAAAAGGGATGGACTTTTATTTGCAGGCAATTTGCAAGGCTGAGAGTAGCAAAAATATCAACACCTAAGCATTTTAGACTCAACCCCACTTGGAACAGCTTATCTATGCGCAGCGTATGTAATATTGTCCATTTTTGCATGTCATCCTTAGAACGATTTCCGTTGTTTGTAGCCCCTCAAACCATGCAAATTCAATGACACAAAAGCCCAGTACTCCTTCCCAAGAGCATTCTGCGGATATGGAAGGCAGATTGAAACCAGCGCTCCAAACTTTTTGTAAGGATGCATCCGTGGTAATTAACCACTTCGACTTCGCTTGAGAGGTTTTCATGATAAAAAACAATATTTCCTATCTCACACAATCCAAAGTCACTAGTCGAAAGTTTGAAAATTACCATCATGAGTACATGGTGGTTGAGATTAGGAGAGTAAAACAAAGCTATTTCTAGAAGGACCTTTTATGAGCGGCAGCTTTGAGAGACTAAGCTCGAAGATCTGTGTATACGAAGCTTTCTTGCCTTCTAAACTCATTCATAACGAGAAACACCCCCTTTTTCGCACCAAACGTCAGTCATCGCTTACGTAAGAGGTCTACTTCAACACCGCTACAGAAACCAGGCACCTCCACTTTAGCTTAACTACTAAGCGAAAAAACGAGACTACTACATAAACAGAACGGACTAACTTCGAAAAATAATAAGCGCAATCGAAGCACGTCAACGCGCAACGTAAATCATTGTCGTGATTTGCTCACAGCTAATACAGAGAAATTCTTGAGCGACGAAGACAATCAAATCAAAGAACTTTCATAAGAAGCCAGGGCGAGAAGTACCTTGGGCCATAGTGTGCGCTAAGTCGCGAAAATGCACGCGCTATATAATTAAGAAGAACATACCCTTTTGGAAAAGCCGAATGTGGAAGCAATACCCAAAAAACTAGAAGTTTGCTCATATTTTGACCGATTGCAGAATAATCATTTTTGATAGCGATTGCAACTAATGCGCATGAGGCCTAGCAGTATATTCCCTAACTCAGGCAAATTTGTTATAATCGAGCGATAGTCTCATGCCATCGCGCATTTCCGTATTGGTGACGCAGGTAGTGCAAGCCAGTCACTTATCCAAATATCGAGTGCTTGGTACGGGCTCTGATATTTCAACTGTACCTGGCGACAGTAAGAATAGCCTAACTGATACCTTACCGGCGACTTGCATTAGAGTAAAGAACAACTGTAGACAATTGCACTCATGTACGGTGAACATACACGTTTAACTAATCAATAAAATCGATACAACCACAAACCTCAGCATCGCGTGGATTTTTCTGTACGGCTCCCTCATAGGCCAACATAGCATTGCCAAGATCACCAGCTTGCATCAGATGATCACCTTTGGTCAACGGATCAGCAGATATTAGGGATGGATTTTGTTCCTAAATCAGGGACAAATGGGGCTCGCACCAGGCTCGGTAATGGGACAGAAATGTCCTACCTGATATACATAGCTATCATTTTCTGTCAAATTAACCCCTCCTTTTTGTGACAAAGCAATATTTTTTCGAATATTTTACCATTCCTTTCCATACTATCAAAAACGTCTGGCATACCAGCTGTGTATTCTTGAGCCCAACTATCACCTAATTCACTTGTCAACTCATTTGATATCTGTAACCAAATCCGGGGTTTAAATCGTTGAACATCGAAAAATGTGATTATTTACTTACAGATGATGATGTCATGGACGATTCAACGTTATCTAGAAACTCTGCTGACCACATAGCACTGTCGACAGAAGTGGAACTGTAAACATTCATTTCAAACCGAAAAATCTGCCTTCGGTGGCATAAATGCCAAAAAATCGATAATCGATTGATCACTAGAAGGCTGCGTCTACCTTTGAGCAAGAGTTAGGTAAGGCGCTGTTGATCCGGTTGCTCCCGCCCAAGCATTTTCATAAGCTAGTCTGGATGCCACATATTGCTGTGACCACTGCGTTTACAACTAAAAATGTAGAAGTAGGTTAAAGGGTCCTGCACAGAAAGCGAATACAGTAGCTACCTGATGCCCTGGCTGCGCAGCATACTCGGTTGTGCATTTATTAGCTAAGCTAGAAGAAGACGATTTGGAAGCTGGGCAGCTAGCGCCTGAAATTTTCAACAAATCGTTGTTCAGATGTGGGCCGGCCACGCCCATTTCGGCTATTTACTTATTTATCTGATGCTCACACTCATGTTAAATGATGTCGGTGCAGGAGCCGCAGATGCTTTCTGTTGCAGAAAATCATTAACGAATTGCTCTCCAAGTGAAGTTGATGGTAAAAGCGAAGAAACACCTAAATTACTGGAAAATAAAAAATGGATAATGGAGCGAACATTGACTTATTAGTTTGGTAATTCCATGTTTATCAGTGTACTAACATTTTTTTATTAGCAAAATCGTCAATATCATTGTTTTTGGGAGACGTAAATCGAAATTGTTTAAAGTCATTAAACTCACGTTTGGTCTTAAATCTACGAAAATTCTCATTAGGAAGTTTTTCGGGCATCTGTCACAAATCGCAGACTTGAAATGGGGTGTCATGCGGGCTGGTACTTACTGCCTCTATTATCTTTTAAAGCGGCACGTGACTTTTACCGCGTAAAACATAGTTTGTAGGTTGATTTTTGCCACATCGATAAAAACCATGAAAAGGAAAATTTCGCGAAAAATCTTTTCCGTCTTTTACTTGAATTTTTGAGGTTGGAAGTCACCTCGGTTCACTATAGGGACGATTCGCTGATTCGATGTTCCATAATTTTGTGCTAGACCTACAAGAGCATTTGGACCACCGCAATCGGCCTCTACCAAAGATTTCATTCTGAAAAAGTTCCATTGCTCAGTCAGAAAGCAAACCCGTAATAAAATCCGAGAAAAGCTTAATAGATCAGCGGTAGCAAAATGTCTTCAAAACTATCAATAAATGAGCGGAGAAAACCTTATCAGCTGACCTATAGCGTAAAGAGCTAGTTCGAAGTGTGCAGTTGGAACCAAATATCTTGTATTGATTCGAAGCCCTGTTTGTGCTTCAAAAGGATTCTTTTCAAAAAGTCACTCTGATAATCGTTTGAAATCAATCAGTAGTCTTTGAATCTCTGAACTGCACTCACAAGATACATCACATGACGAAGACGTGATTGGCCAAGAGAAGAAAAACTGTGATTTACAACTATTAGGTTGTCCCAAAAGTAAACTCTTTTCAAATAAATTGAGCTGTTTTTGTTTTCCTTGCAGAATTAGGGCACCATTCGATAGAGCAAAGCAAGCTCTACAAAATAACCATAAAATATCCACTCAAGTCGTAATCCAGTAAAATTTGGAGACAAAAATCAAAATTTTTTAGCTACCCAAATATCGGATTCCAGAAAATCCCCACGGACTTGCAACTTGATCTTTGTATACAGACACATAGTAGTACCCAAGTATTTGGCGGATTTTTTCCTTGGCTCGACTTTGAGTGATTCCAAAATGTCACTTTTTCGGGTTTTTCAGGTAAATTCGATATTTCTCAGTCATAAGAGCACATTCAGAAATAAAGTTTTTGAATTACATACTTAGTAAGGCTTGTAGTATACAATGACATATGTGGGAGTGGATGGGAGCGGAGTTTGTCATTTTTGGGCTGTTCTTCAAAGACATATTTGAGTACTACTATGCCTGTAGTATAATGAACAAGTTGGATGCCCGTACAGGGTGCGCCACAATTATTTGCGCGTGTATCATTAAGCACCATACGAACATAAGACCGGCTCAGCCAGCGGTCAAGCTTGATATTGTCTTTTTGGTTCTACAACATTGTATCCTAGTTGAAAGAGGTAAAATTGTTTGTTTTGCTTTTAGGTAAAAATTCGTAATATTAGGTTGTAACATAAGTTTTGAAACACTCTTACTTCTTAAGGCGATAAGTCACGCTATTAAAATTTTCAATGAGGATCCAGGGTGCTGTTCGATAGAGCAAAGCAAGCTCTACAAGCTGGTATGCAGATGTTCGCAGCAACTTCGACCCACTGTAAGTTTGCATGAAGGCTCAAAAAATCGCGAAAACTCATATCTTTGCTCAGAAAAATTCTACGAACTCCAACTTGCTCATAAAAACTGTACTTTATATATGACAGCAAAATTTTCGTTTTTTCGACTTTCAGATGAAGAAAAACTACAGCAACGCTACATATGAGTGTCTGATATAGTGTGCAATTTTTATGAGCAAGTTGGAGTTCGTAGAATTTTTCTAAGCAAAGATATGGATTTTTCGCGATCTTTTGAGCCTTCAGTACGACTCAGATTTTAGATGTAAACTTACAGTGGATCGAAGTTGGTGCCACTTTTGTACACAATCATGTAGAGCTTGCTTTGCCCTATCGAATGGTATCCTAGAGCTCCATGAAGATTTTGAGTTGCATGATTTATCGCCGTAAGAAGTTGAGGAGTAACAAGATTTATGTAACAACAACCTAATACATCCAAACTCAAACAGAGTCTTGTTATTCCATTTCAAGATTGATTCAAAGTCTTGGCCAACATGCAAACCCAAAGACTGTCAAAATTATTCTGTTTGTTAAAAGTAAAATTCGAAGAAATTCGTGCTAAAACAAAAACTAACATTGTCTCTGCTAACTGCTTTGCATTATCTGAACTCGTGATAGATTTTACCAATGTATAGCAACCAAGATTCACCCTGAATATTCTTCATTACAGCCTATCATCGAGCGATATTTCTAAGCCAGTGAATTACTGTAGTGCCGGAACGCGCAAGGGAATTTTTTATCCGAAAACGAGAGCATGCACAGAAGCACGAGTTCCGTGCCCAGATCCGGAAAATATCGAAGGTACGTCAATTAGTATTACATGATAATAAGAGTGTAGGGGTTGACTTTTATCATTGCAAAACGATTTGCACCAACCGAGAGTCGAATCCGGTTGGTACTTTAGCAGAGTACAATGATACTTCTACTTCTACCATTAAGATGCACCGTTCATGCAAAATCTAATAGACACTTTGCATGGATTAATTTATAGGCATTGTTGTAAGATACTTCTTGCAAAATTACAATTTGGGAGGCGCCAAATACAACCAACTGCACACATAAATGGGTATCTGAATTGAAGTCGGCAATTGAAAAGGGAGATCCAGCAGAGCAAATTAGCAAAAAAAATGGCATCTGATTTAGAGTAAGCCTTTTGTGTCGCATTGCCTGAGGAAAACCGCTTCAAATTTTTAGATATACATTGCCACGTCAATTGTATGGGGTAGATATTACTGGAAGTTTGCAGTTGTCTGTTGCTCTGCTTGGCTAGGCACGAAGTCAATTTGACGTTGTGGAGGACCTATATGATCGAGACGCTAGAGCGACAAATTTCACTGAGGAAACTCCCTTCCTTTTACCATAAGCTGTTGGAACGAAATCGTAATCTTTTCAGTCGTTCAATTTATACGGTAATTATCTGCTATCGCAACAAGCGCTTCCTGTGTGGAAAGAGCTAACACCATCGCTCTGTTGGAATAACGCTATGGTGTTGCTGACGTCGTTGAAGCAAAGCGCTACTTTGTTGGGAGATTATATGTTGGGTCTGCAAAAGAAGCTGACGTATGATAACTGGGGTGAGTGCAGAGATTGGAGGTCAAAACATCCTCTACAAGCTCATGTTCAGAGAGGGATTTGGATACTTGTGAACACCAGAGCCCGTGCAAATGACAAGAAAGCACGCTAGCTCGTTTTTAGCACAGAAAGCAAAGAAGATATCTTAAAACATGCTGCACTTCAGCTATCCCTCATGTCAGACATGCTCACTTGCTTCAAAGACAAGTTAAGCAATTGACATGCATTAACATGTTCCCTCACAAAACGCAAATTGCAATTGCATTGCTTAGTCAAATAAATAATAAACTTGATTACAGCGCAAATACAGAAATGCAACACCGTATTTAATAACAAGTTGTCGCAGAAAAATGCCCTTACTGTTTGTTACTACTTTGTTTACTACTTGTTTGGTCGTTACTAAATCTCTTGCTCATGTCTTTCGCCATCGTACGTAACATTAGAGCTGGCTTTAACATAGATTTACAGTATGGAGTTAATTACCGATTTCTTACGTTACTGTGGGACTACGGTAAGTACCCTAAAATCCCATAGATAAGAGCGGTTTAAATTACCGGTGAAAAATGAATTAGAAAAATTGAAATTGAATGCAGTCGCCAACGCCATATTTCACACTTTCGTTAATAGTATGAATTTACCTCAACTACTCAGACACTCGGAGCGGACGAGCCGCGGTCCTTAGTTTACTACACCGGGCATGTTGCGGCCGGATTGTCGCAGCGTCCGCGGGCCAGCCAGAGTATCACCGTAGTAAAATGAAGGGCCTCGGGTCAGCCGCTGTAGTGCAGTCCATCCGAGGTCCTTGGTTCGCTGCACTAAAATACTCTCACAGACCCGCGGCCCTTAGGCCGTCCACGCAAATATTCGAATTAAGTTTTTATCCTTGCATCTCTTGCACAGCTGAGTCCGGAACCAGGCCTAGAAAAACGAAAATCTCAAATTATTTTTTGGATGCCCTTTATAATCCTTAGTATAGAAAACCCCTTGCGCCTGCCGGTCAGCCGCGGCCAGCTGCGGGCCCATCGCAGGGCAGAGCCGCAGAGGAACGGTTCCACTTGGGCAATCTCGCATAATTTGATCAATTTTTTGACTTTTGCGCCTGCTAGGCGAATTCGCTGAGTGGGCGGGGCGAACGTACCGTCCGCTCGAGAGGAGCCAACATGACGAATTAGTCTTTCGAAGAATTTTCGAAGCGATCTTTCTTTGGAAGCAACTTCAGACGGCGGGAGTTTGGCAGCTACACAGGTGTGGGTCCCGCAACTGTTAGACTGACATCTCTGGACCACATTTTGGGTGGACGGTTTACTCATGCCCGGCCGACCCGATACCCTCAATTCGCTGCAGCAATCCGTCCTTTAGTTGGCCCGCGAAGCGCTGCGAACATCCAACTGCAACGGCCGTCGAGGCCCGCATCTCGTTTGCACTAAGTGTCGGAGTATCTGAGACTGACATTTTCTTAGCAGATACTGCAAGAGACAACCGTTATCAATTTTTTGTGACTTTTTTGTGACTCCTTGCACACAAACATTCTTTTATTGCTAGCACCATCATAGATAAATAGAGGGTTTTTTTTATCAAACACTGACGGCAAAAGTCGTCTGAAGCTAGCTGTAGCAACAAATAATAGAAATTTGTTACTGCGCCAGTATTATGCCCTCTGAACTTGCTGGTGGCAGTTGCGACCACCAGGCTAAAGGGTTAAATCTTGCCGATGCTTCAAGTCTTCTCATTCGAAGTTTTCCATATTTAACCAAGTAGTAATCTCGCTCACAGGAATAAAAGAATGAAACTCTTTAAAAAGTAACTTAGAAAATATTATCCCGGCAACTCTTATATGAAACTCCGTTCGCTCCGTGCGAGAAACGGACAACTTGAAGCAAGAAGAAAGCATGAAGAATTTTGGCTTCTGTCAATAAATAGTCAGAGAGGTTCTGAACGGAGATTCGTGGATTTCTACTCAATCATCTTTAGCCATGGAGATTGATGTTATTCAATGGGAAAACATGTCACGAAAGGATTCTGCAGACTTGGCAATAAATATCACTTGCTTAAGTCCTTTTGTCAAGCCTAAGGTAAACGCTTTGCCATTATTGCATGATGATCAACTTCACCTTACTGGAAATGCAAGGTAATTTAGATTACGAGTCACATGATGAACTACTTTGACTTGTAATTAAGCATGACAGCTACAATCTCTCTCGTTCCTGTGCAGTTTAATGGATTCATTAAGTCGCCAATTATCACATTGCCACCATTTAAGGTTTTGGGTAGGAAATTGGTATTTATTCATGAAAAATCATTGTCCTTAAATAACACAGAGTCGTCTTCAAACAAAACATCATCAGCGCCTACTTCTGCAGGATTTTTCCATCTGGGATCGGTAGGCCGTTTATAAAAACTCAGTTTAAACCGAAAAACAGACTTAGAAAATTTGAAGCAATTATCTCACTATGGCTCAATGTGGTTCATAGTGCTATCGGTTATTGTGTTGTTGCGACCAGGATCAAGCGTGAGTATGGCGTGCCACACTTAGGGTAGTATTGGGGGGTGGGATGGAGAATGTCGAATCGAGGTGATACTGATATATTCGTCAACAATGTCAATAGGTATTATGCAAAATACAAGAAGACTGATGTTTTAGCATCTTGCGTACAATAAGCGTGACAGAAGCCTTTAAAAGCATAAGAGGAGCATTACTTTCGTAATTAGCATGTCGAATAGCCCTTGTGGACCAATTTTCAACAAATTCTGAGGTTTTCAGATATTATGCCAAACATCCAAGTGAAATGTTCATTTTCAAACATCTTGATTTTGTTCCAAAGGTAAGTTAATTATTAGGTCGTAAAGAAAGTTTCTGGGCATTTGCAAAATTTTTTTTCAAATTGCTGTCACCTCAAGCAGATTGAATTTTTCTAAAGCTACAAACTCCATTAATGACAATTTTGTCCACAACATACAGTGACCGCCAAGAAGTTGCTGACAAGCCGCCTTCTTTTTTTCATCGCTCATTTTCGGACGGAAAACGAAGATGAAAACATGATTGGATTGCATGGGTGATAGAGCTCACCAAGAGCTACAATCCACACATTGCGCTTTCTGGAAGACATGTAATATAAAAGTTTTGAAAATCTTTTTCTAAAAAATGTTCGAAATTGACCGCGTCACAGTGTCGCGGACAATAATTCTTCGAACGCGAAGATTTTCTGTTAGGTCTTTTCTTGGAGCAAAAACAGAAGTTAACCGAACAAATAAGCATACATATCGTAGAGCTCATCGAGGGCAATAATCGGGTAATGGTTCCGTCCAAAAAAACCCAAGCTTGAATTTTGCTTTGCTTTTTTTCAAAAAATAATTTTAATTCCCTTCTTCAAGCCAAATTTCTTCACATGGAAATCTATTCAAGGCATTCCAACAGGACTGTTTAGATAGAATAATGCTCTTTGCCATCCTTCACGCATCGGACGTGTGCTGGTGAGTTTCTTTGCTGAAAATGGCTTTTGACAGTGCGTGCACATGACCCCACCTGCACCTGCATGACTTGCAAGTTGGGTATGAGAAACAGCAGAGATTTGGCGGATGGGGTGACAAAGCGCAGCTTCACTGGTAGGCAAAGGATTTTTCGGCTAACGTCAATTTTCTTGTAATAGATTTATTTCGGAGCTCTAAGAGCGTTCTAGTGTTAATAAGAGCCTTCACTCCATTCACCTCTAAGGCTGCGCTTTGTCACCCCAACCACCAAATCTCTGCTGTTTCTCATGCCCAACTCTTTTGCATACCATCGTGTCCAGGAAGTCACGCTCTTTCGAATGAGCCTACTTGCAGGCTCGTGGAATGACGCCGGCTGATACAAGCCTGCAAAGCGGTGCAAGTCAGCGATGAGGTGCAGGTGTGGTCATGTGCACGCACTGTCAAGAGCATTTTCAGCAAAGAAACACACAGCACACGTCCGATGCATAGAGGATGGCAAAGAACATTTATTTTATCCAAACAGCCTTGTTGGAATGCCTTGAATAGATTTCCATGTGAAGAAATTTGGCTTGAAGAAGGGAATCAAAATTATTTTTTGAAAAAAACCAAAACAAAATTCAAGCTTGGGTTTTTTGGAAGGAACCATTACCCGATTATTGCTCTCGATGAGCTCTACGATATAGTATGCTTATCTGTCTGGATAACTTCTGTTTTTGCTCCAAGAAAGGCCTAACAGAAAATCTTCGCGTTCGAAGAATTATTGTCCGCGACATTGTGACGCGGCCAATTTCGGACTTTTTTAGAAAAAGATTTTTAAAACTTTTATATTACATGTCTTCCAGAAAGCGCAATGTGTGGGTTGTAGCTCTTGGTGAGCTCTAGCTCTTTTCAGTCACTAACACTAGCATGCGCCCACTAACATGCGCAGAAGGGAAAAAGGTCGTTGTGAAAAGTGGTGGCCTGTTTTGTGCAGGATTATTCTAGGCACGATGAAAGCTGGAAAGCTCAAATGCTGTAGTTATATAGAAGTTTGCTGGGGCTGTTATAGAGACTATTCAAGCTTCTGAGCGACCACACGCAAAAAAAGTTTTTTCAGAAAGTTTGGAAAATCGATCATTTCTTGCCCCTAAAAATACACCATTTTTTGAGTGGATGACTTTGAAATCTTGTCGTTTTCGCATAGGGAGCCAAATTTTTGATTACTTCGAACATTGTTGGGGTAATGCCTTATACATCTTTAAGTCCTATCAACCAGGCATGGCGATCCCCGCAGAAGCGACATCAGCTACGAAAAGGGTTGCAGTCAGCGGCAAATTCGATATAGCTTGCAATTTCTGAACGCAAACTGCAATACTCGAGTGCAGCTGCGGGTCAGAAGTTAACAGGCTTCTCAATCAAATCACCCATGATTTGGACGAAATTCTTTGAATTGTACAAAAAATGGCTGTAGAAAGAAAAATTGAAAATTTCATGGTTGGAAAGAGTTTTCTTCTTGATGTGCAGATTAAACACGTCTTGGCATCGATGAAAACCAGAAGCCGGTATTAAAAACTTTAGCTTCCCCTCTAGTGAACAGTATAAAAAACTTGGTGTCAAAGTCTGATCGAGCGCCGGAAAAATGCTTTCGAATATGAAATCTCCAAAAGTGGTTGGGAACTCTCTTTACAATCTAATACTTCTTCTTGCACTTAATACAAAGAACTGTCACTTCTTGGCTGGTAGTATAAAACCAAAAAGAACGCCTTCTTCCTCTTGCAATTCTTTTCTTGTTTGCAACGCTTTCGTCTTCGTCTGTCTCTTGCTTATATAAATCAGCTGTTTTTTCAGCACAAACTTGACTCAGATAGTAATCAAATATAAGAAAAATTAGGATAATGGCTTTGCTGGATTTTACCGCACTGTTTCTGAATTTCTAGAATTTTTGCTTAAAAATTCCGAATTTCGGACGGTCTCGTTCTTACATTTTTGTCTCTGCCATTTGAGCATGTTGGAAGCTCACCGGGGAGTTTTTGGAAACTACACGCTTTACGCTTTCAGGCAAAATTTGAATTGCGCAAAATCGTTGTGACCGAAAGAAGTTATGATTTTTTGAAAATGGTGCGACAGAACTTTCGGTTCAACCTAATATACAGGGTGTCCCAAAAAGATGTGCACACTGTTTAATTGTTAATAACTCTCTTGTTTTCATGTCTTTTGCCAAGTTTGAGGTACCATTCTTTAAAGCGAGGTTCAACTTAGATTTACGTTATGGAGGGATTTATAAGCAGCTCTTCATTACTGTAGGACTACGGCAGGAATTTCCGAAAGGATTTTGAGCCATTGGAAGCAGTTTTTTGCCTCAGAAAAAAGCCAAACAAGCCAGAAACTCATGAACTGGGTCAGTCGAAGTTGCTAATTCTAAATATGAAAATTGCACGTCAGTACACTGTTTCTTTCAAGAGTTATATCAGATTTAGGGTAACAACTGATTTTCCAATATTTGTTAGAAATGTGAATGCGCCATCGAGAAAGCTCGAAAAACTGGCAGAAATTTGTGTAGTAAAATCAGCACGCCTGAAAACCTTGTTACACAATTTTATAGATTTTTTCGAAGTTATTTCATCAAAAGGCTTATTCCGCAGTGACGCTGTATGCTGAGAGTTCTTACCGTGATCCTACAGTAGCGAAGAGCGATTGGTGATTCGCTCCATACTGTAAATCTAAGTTTATCCTCGCTTTATGGAATGGTACCTCAAGCTCGGCAAAAGACATGAAAGCAAGAGAGTTATTAACGATCAAACAGTGTGCACATCTTTTTGGGACACCCTGTATATATATATATATATATATATATATATATATATAGGGTGTCCCAAAAAAATGTTAACACTGTTTGATCGTTAATAACTCCCTTGCTTTCAAGTCTTTCGCTGAGCTTTAGGTGCCATTTTGTAGAGCGAGGATAAACTTAGATTCACAATATCGAGCGAATCATCTAACGCTCCTCGTTACTGTAGAATTACAGTAGGAAATTCCAGCATGTGGAACCGTCGTGAAATATGCCTTCTGACAAAATTTTTTTCAAAAAATCTGAAAAAACGTGTACTAGGGTTTTCGCGCACGCTGATTTTACTACACAACTTTTTACAAGTGTTTTCAGCTTTTTTGATACAGTATGGAGGGACTTACCAGCCTCTTTTCATTACTGTAGAATTACGGTAGGAATTTCGAGGAGGATTTTCAGCAATGGAAAGCTGTATTTTGCCTTAGAAAAAAGCCAAATAAGCCAGAAACTCTTGAACTGGGTTAATCATAGTCGCTGATTCTAAATATGAAAACTGCACATCAGTACAATGTTTCTTTCATGAGTTAATTCAAATTTAGGGTAACAACTGAATTTCCAGTGTTCAGCAGAAATGTGAATACGCCATCAAGAATGCTTGAAAAAGGGATGAAATGTTATGTAGTGAAATCAGCACGCCTGAAAGCCTCGCTACATAATTTTTTAGACTTTTTTTTTTGAGATTATTTCATCAAAAGGCTTATCCCACAGTGATGCTGTATGCTGAAAGTTCATACCGTGATCCTACAGTAGCAAAAAGAGATTGGAGCTTCGCTTATTACTGTAGATCTAAGTTTATCCTCGCTCTACAAAATGATACTTCAAGCTCGGCAAAAGACACGAAAGCAAAAGAGTTATTAACGATCAAACAATGTGCACATCTTTTTGGGACACTCTATATATACATATATATACCCTAAAATCCCGCCAATAAGTTTGGACTTATCTGCAAAAAGGCGGACTTAGCTGCGAGACTTTTGGCGGCGCGAGGGTGCATTTCCATAGAAAAAAAACGGACTTATGTGATGGATGACTTATCTGAGAGGCGGACTTATTGTAGGGATTTTAGGGTACATATATATATATATTAG